TTTTATTCAATTCTTTTCTTCTTGTGAAAAATTAGGGCTTGGACTTGATTTAGATAGCTACCTTTGAGTTAGTTACTCTCTGGCTGCAGTGTATTGGTTCCATGAACCAGTCAGAGAGATCAGGGGAACAGTATGGAACCCGTGCAGGGTGAGGGCTCAATGAGTGACACAATTATCATTAGATATATTCACCTTATGTCCTGCAACTTTGTGTATTTCGACCATTGAGTCCTTATTTTCCTTACCTCCCTGACCCTGGAAACCACAGTTCTATTTTTTGCTTCCATTTATTTAACTTTTTCTTTGCTTATGGTACTGGGGATTGAACCCAGGTCTCACTCATGCTAGGCAATGGTTGTACCTCCAAGCAACATCTCTATAACTTTTTAAATTTTTATTTTTAGACAGTGCTTCACTGAGTTGCCCGAGTTGGCATTGTGCCATTTCTGGTGCAAAGTAGAAATTTGGAAAACAATTCTTTCCACAAATTTCCAGAATTTTCCCCTTGGTGTACTCTCCATCTCTATAAATATACTCATCTGAGCTAAGAATCAGGAAGTGGGAGGTGAGGGAGAGGAGTGGACAATGATTTTCCACCAGCTGCCATGCACCATTCTGGATTTCTGAAGTGTTATTTCATTTATTAGGATGAAACACATAGAATGGTGATGACTCAGATCCTCCCTGAGCCCTCTTCCTCCATGCAGCAGACTTCTTACCCTCATGCCTGTGCTCTGTTCTTCACTGGATTTCTCTCTCAGAGCCTGGCCATGGGGTGAGACATGGCCCCTTAATCCTCCTGCCTCTGCTTCCCAAGCAGCTGGAATAACAGGCATGCATCACTGTGCCCAGCCGTATGTTTAACTTTTATTAGGATTATACATATAAGTGAGATCAGGCAGTATTATTCTTTGTGTGTCTGGCTCTTTCTTTTTTCTTTTTTTTCCTTTTGAGACAGGGTCTTGCTATGCAGTTCATACTTCAGCCTGGCCTTGAGCTCACTTTATAGCCTAGGCTATCTTGAACTCGCAACGATCCTCCTTCCTCAGCCTACCAAGTGCTGGGATTACAGGTGTGCACCCCCATGCCCCGCTCTGGCTCTCTATCGCTTATTACTAATGACTTTGAGGAAGTTGCTCACTTTCTTTGGACCTGAGTTTCCTCATTTGTGAAGTAAGAGGTTGGATCCAAGGCATTCTGGGTAGTGGAGCCATTTAAGAAGTTGATGAAGGCTGTGAAAAGTTTCTGCCAGTAAGTAGAAAGCTGCTTGTCACTTT